CAAAAAAAAAAAAAAAAAAGCAATAAGACAATGCAGAGAAAAGTCAGGAAGAGTTCATAGCTCCCACCCTGACTTCCCAGGGGGAGGAAGTGAACGTTGAGCACACATTAATGCAGGCAGCCCTGGTGACAACAGACTGTCAGTCCTAGCCAGTCTGGCAAGTCTCAAACCCAGTGCAGGCTTTGATGTGAAAGGGACTCCTTCTGCACAACAGGCAAACATTGGAGAAAACATTCATTACATCAATTCCCATAGCTCAGAGAGCTTTAGCCAGGCTCCATCTTGACACAAGCCTACTAGACTTAGCTAGTCTGGAGACATGAAAACAATGAACAATCACAAGCCAGGGATACAATTTCAATGCCATTCCCATCAAAACTCCAATAATAATCTTCATGGAAATAAAGAACTCAATCCTAAAATCCATATGGAAGCATAGAATAGCCCAAACAACCAAAGAAATTCTGGGCAAAAATAGAAGTGCTGGAGATATCACAATATTTGACTTTAAATTATATTACAGAATCATAGTAACAAACAAACCAAAAAAAAAAAAAAAAGCATAGGAACAGACATGTGGACCAATGAGATAGAGCTGAAATCCCAGAAAAGGTAGCTGCACAGCTAAAACATCTGATTTTTATTTTCATTTTTACAAAAACGTCAAAATCCTACATGAAAGGATTAGTGCTGGGAAAACAGGGTTTCTACATGTAGAAGACTGAAACTAGACCCAACCATTCTCCCTATATGAAAATCTACTAAAATGAGTCAGAGACATTAGTCTGAAACTCTTAAACTGCTATAGAAAAACATAGAGGACACACTTGAAGAAGCAGGTATGCATGAAGACTCTAGTGGCTCTGGAAATAAACGCAAGAATTGACAAATGAGCAAATTAAAAAGCTTCTGCACAGCAAAGGAAACAGTTATTACCAAAAAAGGCTCTCTACAGAATGGGAGAAGATCTTTGCCAGTTAGTTACAATGTATTTGTGATCTATATTTACAGTCTGTAAAAATGAGTCCTAAAGTCATATAGTAAATAAACATCTATTCACAAAAACTGGCAAAAATAAGTAATAACTAGGTATCAAAAATAAGAATCAGCAAGACAGTCCACCCATACAGATAGGCCAAGAACATAGGGGTTAATTATTAACTTAAAACAGTAATATTTATTTAAGAATAAAGAACTTGTAACCTTCACCCTTGTATATTTTCCTCTAGGGTTTAAGCAGGATCTACAATATGCTTCTACTCAATAGAGCCCAATTATAGCATAACTGATTACAATGACATAAGAACCATCACTACTATTCCTTTCTCTCTTCTGATTGTCTTGAAGTAGAAAGAAGCCAGACATTTCAAGCAGTAGGGACTGGCTAGAAAGACCCACATGACAAAAAAAAAAAAAACACTTGAGAGGCTCAGTCTTATGCCATGCTCATGTTCTGCCAACACCGTGAGCAAACTGAGAACAAACCTTTCCCCAGTTGAACCTCCAGATGAGAACACCGCCCAGCTGATATGTTGATTGGTTCTAGGTGAGACCTTGAAATCAAGAACCAGTTTGGCTGTATCCGAGATACAGACTCACAGAAACTATGAAATAGTTCATAGGTGTTCACAGCCACTGTTTGTACCAGTTTGTTACCTAGCAACTAGTTGAGTATGGTGATGCATGCCTTTAATCCCAGTTACTGGGGAAGTAGAGGTAGGAAGATCATGAGTTTGAGGCCAGCCTGGGAAAAAATAGGCAAAACTTGAAAGCAAAATACAACCCAAAGATCTGGTGGTATTGCTCACCTGATAGAAAACTTGCCTCATATGTTAGAGAGCCATGGTTTTACCCTTAATTCTAGGAGAAAAAAAAACAACATACCAACATACTCGTTGACTAAAATAAAGCAAACATGAAAAGAAAGTCTGCAGAGTTTTGTAACACTTATCTGGCACACATCTTGTGTATCTTATGCAAACTCTGTCAGCGCTGCTTGTATGATAGATACTCAAGGACACACATTGCAAGAGTAATTGGGTACTAATACAATTGAGCTGGGAAGTATTGAGTTTTGCTGAAGAAAAAACAATCATCATATCTGAGATGCTTGTACAGCCAAGGAATCAAATTTCACCCCTTAAGGGAAATATCAACCTCATTAAAAATATATGTTTCCATGTTTATTTGGGGAGAAGGCGATGGATGAGTCAAACTTTGTGGGATGACAGAGCTGGTATACAATGGGAACTACCTCCACCTGTAGGCCATTTGTGGATTGTCTGCATAATATTTAACCACAAGTGAAATGTTTCTCATTCTAGGACATAAAGGAAAATCGGACTCAAATTCAACCTCACATTTTTTTAAAAATTAATTTGTGTATTCACTTGAAATATATTTAGTGCTGGGTGTTGGTGGCTCACACATATAATCCTAGCTACTCAGGAGGCTGAGATCTGAGGATACCGGGGCAGGCAAGTCCATGAGACTCTTTTCTCTAATTAACCACCCCAAAATCGGAAAGTGGTGCTGTGGCTCAAGTGGTTGAGTGCTAGCCTTGTTCAAAAAAAGCTCAGAGGTAAAGCCCAGGTCCTGAGTTCAAGCCCCAGAACTGGCATTTTTAAAAAAAAAAAATGTTATTTAGTGCCTGTGTTTCAGGCACTAAACATTTTGCCCACAGGAAAAGGAATGAAATTCTATCTTGGCCTTGAGCCAGACACTCAAGGAACCAAAACAGGAAACATGAAAAATGATTCTAAGTTTCTTTCCAGGAAATTCATTCGAAGAGGTAAAGGTAGACCAGCCTGAGAGTTCAGTGTCTGTCAATGCTGGAGATGAAGTCACCTTGCCCTGCAGCATGTCTTCTCTGTCACCCAAAGGAACTGTCTCATGGTTCAAAGAGGACGGGCCCAAACGGCAATTAATCTACAGTTTCAATGGAAATCACTTCCCCCGAGTAACTCAAGTACAGAAAACAGTACCCAATCAAATGGACTATTCCATCCGCATCAGCGACATGTCACCAAAGGATGCTGGCACCTACTTCTGTGTGCTGTTAAAGAAAGGGAATCCTGCCATGGAGCTCATGTCTGGTCCTGGTACCTATGTGTCTGTGAAAGGTGAGTAACAGCCTGACACACTTATTCCATTCCCTGGGCATGCACGTGCATGTGTAAAACTCTTCACGGTACCCTCAATGAATTATTACAGCTCATTGGTTAGTAGGCCTCTTCTTGCACAAACCATTCTCTGGGGTTGGGTTCTACAAGAAAGGACCTTCCGATAAAATTCTAGAGTCAAATGTCAAATATTAAATCAATCCATATCTGGAGGCTACAGTCCTTCTTCTCTGATGGTCAGATCTACCAAGGTCCAGAGACACAGGGAAAGAGACTCCCATGGTAAAAGATAGCTCATGGCATGACCCAAATAATAGGGAAATGGAGACCCAGAGGCTTGACTGGCTCTTTGAAGGTCTCAGAACTATTCCTGGGCTCAAATACAGGCAAGGCACTGCACTAGACTGAGAGTCTTTGAACTTTTAGTCACAGCCCTTTAAGGCGTAATCGTGTGTCTCGATTAAGTTTGGCCCCAAATGTCCAACACATCCTGACCCAAAGGAAAGAGCGATCTCCAGGCAGACAGATCATGTTCCCATGATTCCCTTCATCTGCCTCCATTACCAATGGGGATGTGATTGGGGCTCAGTAGCAGGCTGCAGGTGAAGTCTGGGACCACCAATGCTCATACAACAGGTCAATCACTAAGCGTGCAATTAATCACTCCACAGCCAGAGAATTCATCACTCCATGGCCTGGGAATTGTGGAGCCAGAGGAGGAGGCTTGTGTTTGACCATCTCCAGACTCTGGAGGGGCAGGATGTCTTGATGAAGGGCCCAATTGTATGTCTGACACTTGGGTTTCCCCAGGTGAGCCCTGAGCTTCCATGCCTTTATTCCTTGATGACAACCAGTGTTTCATTCTGGTCAACTTCATGTCATGAAGGGCCCTTGAGGCCACAGGCCCCTCTGTTCTGCAGCAGTGTTTCCCTGGAATCAAGGCACCTTTTCAAGGCACACAACTGGCCATGGAAAATCCATGTGTCCCTCAAACTCACTGGTGTGGCTACAGGCTACTTTGCTTCTCTCCTGTCCTGACCTCACTGGACAAGAGTTCCCTTCCCAGCTAACCTGCTCTTTTGTCTGTGATTATGATGTTTTGGAGGCACTGCTATTACCAGGGCCCATCACATCATGAAGTAGTAATGGCGGCTATGTTGAGAAGAGAGTGCGGGTCAGGAAAAGACTTGCAATTATGAGGATCCCTGAGACAATGGTTCTTATTTTTGAGAGAAAATGAGCCTTCCACTTTCCTTGTACCTCTTGAAGGATAAGTAATGGAACCATGCATAGGGTCAACCATCAAATGTTTCAGTTGTGCTGTCTCTCCACTTTCCCCTCTCCAAAACTCTCCAGCACTAATCTCTCCAGAAATTGCAATAGCTCTCTCGCCCTTCTCACAAGAGATGAAGCCGGTCCCATCCTCACTGGAAGACCTGAGTAGAAGGAGCAGAGTTGCACATTTAAGAATGTGCTGGGAATGTGGCTTAAAGGTAGAGTGCTTGCCTAGCATGCATGAATCCCTGAGTTCCATTTCTCAGTACCATATAAATAACAACAACAACAAAAAAAAGTGGTTCAAATGGTAAAGTGCTAGCCTTGAGCAAAAGAAGCTCAGGCATAGTGCCCAGGCCCTGAATTCAAGCCCCAGGACTGGCAAAAAAAAAAAAAAAAGTCCTGGCCTTTGGATGAGTAGAAAAACCAGTTTCTGTCTATGAATGTTAACCCTGCATAAGATCCCCACACTTCCTGTCTTCTTGCCTTGGTTAGGAGCCAAGAAATAGAAATGCGGGGATGACAAATGTGGTGCTCTGGACCTAACAATACCAGAGGACGAGCCGTCTCTACATAGAAGTCATGAATAAGACCCAACCATGGCCTGCATCCAGGTTCCCCCTAGGGTAGTCTGAGCCAAAGCAGGGGAAATGAGAAATGACTGTGTGTTTCTTTCCAGGAACCACAGACCAGACATCCCACGTACAACAAAATGAGATCTCACGGACTGTGGAAATGGGGAAGACGATCACCTTGAGTTGCACTGTGCCCGACACCCTCCCCAGCGGCCCTGTTGCGTGGTTTAAGGGATCCGGGCCAAATCGGAAATTAATCTTCAACTTCAAGGATGATCGCTTTCCCAGAGTAAAAGCTACTGCGGACACCAGCAAAGCTGGCAACACGGACTTCTCCATCCGCATCAGCGAAGTCTCTCTTGCAGACGCTGGTGTCTATTACTGTGTGAAGTTTGTAAAGGAGAACATGAACAAGGATTACCAGTCAGGACAGGGCACCCAAGTGTCTGTTATTGGTGAGTATGTCCTCTAACTACGCTTCTTGCTGTCTCCCAATCATTGAATGACTGTTACAGGTCAAGTATGATCAAAGGGAGAATATATATTAGATTTTCCCCCATCTAACACCTAACTTTTCAGTTAGGTATTTTACAAGAAGGGAAACTGAGATTTAGAAAAGTAAGTGATTGAATGATAAGGGAGATTTTAGCTAACATCTCAGCATTTATTCTGTCTCCTACCATTCATCTAAACCAGTTAAAGTAACCCTACATCCCCTATCACTGGCCAACTCAACTATGGGACTAACTTCAGCCAATTTGGGCTCAGGGTTTTGCCTACTCCTTAATACAAAGCCTCTGGTTAGCTTAGAGGTACAATAGCTGATGACAGTTGCTTAGAAAAAGAAAGTCGTGAATGAGCCCAGCATTCCTGTTAACATCCAAATACTCCAGGCTAGACATGTGCGAAATGTATGCCATTCCTACAGAAAGAATAAATTGTGCATACATTTTTAAATGACGAGCTATATATTCATTTCCTGGGGTCAGTGTAGCTAATGGACACCATTAACGGATAAATGAGACAATAGGAATACATCATCATGAGTCAGGACAGCGAGGAGTTGTCAATCATCCACTCCACAGAAACAAGTAAAAATTGTTTTTAAGACACACCTAACGCTGGGCACTGGAGACTCATCCCTGTAATACTCGCTACTCAGAAGGCTGAGATCTGAGGATCATAGTGCAAAACCAGCCTGGGCAAGACAATCCCTGAGACTTTTATTTCCAATTAACTACCAAAAAAGCCAGAAGCAGAGCTGTGTGTGGCTCAAAGTAGTAGAGCACTAGCCTTGAGTGAAAAAGCTCAGGGACAGCTCTCAGGCCTTGAGTTCAAGCCCTACCACTGACAAAAAAAGGGGGGAAAGGATAAGAGAAAAGAGAAGGCTTAGAAAGAATAACATAGAAGGGGCAAATTTAAATAACTAGTATACATCTAGGATAATCTTACCAGACAAGTAGAAAAGGTCAAAAGCTATGCACATATGACCATATAAGATGATGCTAAGCGAAATGAACCCCAAGATAGGGACACAGAGGTTTTATCTTTGTTGGTGTTGTTTTTAATGTACTTAAAATGTACTATGTGATTTTTCTGTTTCTTTTGTATGCTCTTCCCCCATGGTATTACCCGTTTTCACTGTATTTGATTCCAGTAAATTGCATCTTGTATATACATTTTTCTAATTTGGGGAGGTGAAGGGAAATAACAAAATGCTGAAACAAGGATACACGTTGACCCATTGTAACAATGAGATGTACAAGACACTATGTTGAAAACAAACTTTACAACTTTGGGGAAGCAGTGAGGGAGGAGTTGGGAAGGGAAAGGATGGTAGGGGGTAAACAAAGGAGGGGTAACAATACTCAATATAAAATTTACTCATTACCTTACTCATGTAAGTGTAACCCCTCTATACAATATCTTTACAATTATATATATGTATGTGTGTGTGTATATATACATATATATATTATATATACATATATATATGTATTATATATATATATATATATATATATATAATTCAAAAAAGAGCCAGGCACCAGTGGCTCTGGCCTGTATCCTAGCTACTTAGGAGGCTGAGATCTGAGGATCACAGTTCAAAGCCAGCCCAAGCAAGAAAGTCCATGAGACTCTTTTTTTTGGGGGGGAGGTCAGTTATGGGGCTTGAACTCTGGGCTTGGGCACTGTCCCTGTACTCTTCAGCTCAAGGTGAGTGCTCTACCACTTGAGCTACAGCACCACTTCCAGTTTTCTAGTGGTTTATTGGAGATAAGAGTCTCACCGACTTTCCTGCTGGGGCTGGCTTTGAACTATGATCCTCAGATCTCAGCTTCTTAAGTAGCTAGGATTACAGGTGTGGGCCACCGGCATCCAGCTCTGTGAGACTCTTATCTCCAATAAACCACCAGAAAACTAGAAGTGGTGCTGTGGCTGAAGTGGTAGAGTGCTAGCCTTGAGCTGAAGAGTTCAGGGACAGCGCCCAGGCCTAGAGTCCAAGACCTACAACCGACTAAAAAAAAAGGGGGGGGGGCAAATTTAGTCAAAGTGCATCATATATATGCATGCTCAAAATATCACACTAAAGCCTCTTTGTACGATGAATTTGAAGTACATTTAGTATTGCTGACTCACCAACCCTAACTGTCTACCCATCTTCCTCCCTAAAGCTCCGCCTTCTCTGCCTGTGGTGATAGGCCCCTTGGAGAGGGCCCTGATTAAACAGGCTGTGAATTTCAGTTGCATGTCCTACAGTTTCTTTCCCAAAAACATCACCCTGAGATGGTTCAAAAATGGGAAAGAACTCTCCTCCCTCCGGACCCAGGTGATCGAATTGAAGTACGGTAGTGGTGACAAAGTCTTAAGTAGCACTGAGGTGGTGCTGGACCCAAAGGACTTCAATTCTCGTGTCACCTGCAACATGGACCACCCAAGCTTTCCACACCCTCTTCATGGGAAGACCGAGTTGACTGACACCATGCTAGGTAGGTGACATCAACCCTGGCCAGCACACACTTTCCCCCTAAAGATTGTTTTAGTACCTTAAGTCTAAACCACAGAACCTTTCAGCTATTAAGAGCATCTACTGTGTGCTGAGGACTGCCCCAGTGCTAGGTAGCTAGCAAAGTCAATAGCTATTAAGTAAGCCAGAATAGCTCTGATTATAGTTCCCGATCTGAGCCTCTGTCCTGTGCTCTTTCAGCTCCGCCAACTGTGTTTATTTTTCAACACCCTATCTCAAATGACAAGATAAACGTCTCCTGCAAGGTCAAGAAGTTCTACCCCCAGAACGTCCGCCTCGCCTGGCTGAAGAATGGAAACACCTCCCACATCGATGAGACCCTGATCTCCACCAAAGGCAGAAACGGGCTGTACAGCGTGCAGGGCTCCATCTTGGTGGCGAACGCTAACCACACGGAGGACATTCTCCTCACCTGCCAGGTGGAGCAGGACGGGAGGCCCGAAGTCACTGAAAAAACATTCTTGCTCTCCTCGTACCTGGACAAGCCTAAGATGTAGCCCCTGGAACGGCCTTCACGATTATGTAAGGAGGCTGGGCTCTGTCTTCATTCCTCAAAGCTTGCTTTTTAAGAATATAACATTTTAACTTACGAAAGCAAAATCTACTCTTCCCTCCCTGTCTCTCTCCCTCTCCTCTCTGCCTCCTCTCCTTCTCTTTCTCACACACACATATATGCATACATATGTGCACATACATGTGCAATATCCCTCTTTTGCTCCCTCTCTCTCTCTCTCACACACACACACACACACAAGCATGCATGCACACAAGTTCACACAACCCAAACTTGTCTCATTATCTATTAGAAGTATCTAGTAGAAAACAAATACACCTAATCCAACTCTGCAGATGTCTAATTTCATGATATTCTATCGATTCTTTGAAAATCTCATTGAGCTGGGTGCCCGGGCCTCATTCCTGTCAGCCTAGTTACTCAGGAGGTTCAAAACCAGCCCAGACAGGAAAATTCATGAGACTCATCTCCAATTAAACACCAAAAAAAAAAAAAAAGCTGGAAGCGGCGTTGTGGCTCAAATAGTAGAGTGCTAGCTTTGTGCACAAATGCTCGGGAATAGTGCACAGCCCCTGAGTTCAAGCCCTGGGACTGGCATCGAAATCATTATCATTATCATCATCATCATCATCACCACCATCATCATCACCATCATCAAGTCACTGATCCATACAGTAGGTTTCAGGCTGGTGAGAAGACTGGGTGATGAATGAGATTCCTTGCCAAGTCACACAAATCTAATGTTCTTTATGGTTTCTGGCTAGGAGGATTTTGTTTCCTTATTTCCAGAGTGAATCCAAGTACTGATACCAATCAAGTCAACCTTGAAAGTCTCCTAGAACACATTCATGTTCTTACTGCACATGGTATAGACAAATAATACACAGCTTGATCAGAACTCAAGGGGTAATGTGTGACCTCCCTGGGGTGGATATCAACTCTTAATCCTCTGCTAACCTTCACCTAGGAGAGTGTTTAATAGAGTCCAGAGCCAGGGGCTGTGGCTCACACCTGTAATCCTAGTTACATGGGAGGCTGAGATCTAAGACCCAGTTTGAAGCCAGCTCAGGCAAGAAAGTCCATGGGACTCTTATCTCCAATTAACCATTAAAAAGATGTTAGTAGAGGTATGGCTCAAGTGGTAGAGAACTAGCCTTGAGAAAAAAAAAAGGCTAAGGGACAAAGTGCCCAGGCCCTGAGTTAAAGCCTCAGTACTTGTGCACATGCATATGTGCACGCACACATATACACACACACCATATACACTCATGGAGCAGAATCCAGTCCTAATCAAAAAAACATGTCTCTTTGTAACTACTACTGTGCCTAATTATTGAGTGTCAGGATCTAAGGTCTTACAGAGGTGGGGGACCCCAAGAAGGGGAGAAAGGAAAATAAATGCTCCTGTGGAATATCAAAGGTGATCCTGAGGCTCTAGTGCCTTAATGCTTCTAGTGAGAGTTAGACTGGAGGCCAACTCCTGAGGTCACCGCACATACTTATGGTGAATCATAAAGCCAATTGCTGGGCTTCCAGAGTGTGAGGACAGAGCTGGCCCTGTTCCCACCACATGGTCCAGTAAGCAAGGTCAACGTCAAACACAAGCGTGTAACTCTACTGTGCAGCTTTTCATCACTGCAGCCTCACAGCTGGGAGAACAGTTAAAAGCAGAAAAGACTTCTTCTGCCTATGGTTTCAGGGGCTCAGTCCACAGGTACTTGGCCCCATTCCCTGGGACAGAACTTCATGGTGGTGCAGGTGGGTAGTGAAGGAGGAAGAGGAGGTTCTTTACCTCACTGCAGCCACAAAGAGAATGAGAAAGGAACTTGAGACCTAGCCAAGCAATAGTGGCTCACACCTAACTATCCTAATTACTCCAGAGGCTGAGATCAGAGGATGGAAGATTGAAGTCAACCCAGGCAGGAAGGTACATGAGACTTTTATCTCCTATTATTCACCAAAAATCCAGAAGCAGAGCTGTGGCTCATGTAGTAGAGTGCTATGCTTGAGTGAAAAAGCCAAGTGCAAGGCTGTGAGTTCACAATATTGGAGGCATCTCTCTTCTGGCCAGCTATGGCTGGCTAGGTGTAGAAGGAGGAAGGGGAAGGGAGAGAGGGGGGAATGTGTGCAAGAGAGAGTGGGAAAAAGAAAGAGAAAGAAAAAGAGAAGCCAAGTACAGGTAGCTCATACTTGTAATCCTAGTTTCTGGGGAGGCTGAGATCGGAGGACTGTAGTTCAAAGCCAGTCCAGGCAGAAAAAATTCATGAGACTCTTCTTTCCAATTAACCACCCCCAACCAGAAATTAAGCTGTGGCTCAAGAAGTGGAGCTCCAGCCTTGAGCAAAAACAGCTCAAGCACTGCTCCCAGGCCCTAAGTTGGAGCCTCTTAAGTAGCCCCCAAGAACATACTACTCTGGGGCTGGAGGCTTGAGTTAAGTGGTAGAGTATCTGCCTAGCAAATGTAAAGCTCTGAATTCAAATACTATTACTACCAAAGAAATAAGAGAACCACTTGAACTGCAGTGTGAGGGCAAGACTGAAAAAGAAAGAGTGAATGAGGCAAATTTAAGAGACTGACAGAGAAAGAGATAAAATGTAGAGAGAGTAAGAGAGAAAGAGATTTAACTGGATTACAGCAAAATCCCAGCACTGGGGAGACTGAGACAGGAAGATTCTAAATTCAAGGCCTGTCTGGGCTACACAAAACCCTCTCTCAAAAACAAAACAAAGCACAAAAAACAACAGCCAAAAGAAATCCCTAGGAAGACTGAATGTTTGATCACCCCTGATTCATATGAAGTCCTAACACACAACGTAATGGTATCATGAAGGGGGCTTTTGGGAGGCTCCTATGGCATGAAGGCAGGGGCCTCGTGAATGGGGCCCCTTGGGAGAGGAGCCAGGGAGCTGCCACATGATGACACAGAAGGCACCATCTGTGAACCAGGGAGCCGGCTCTCCCCAGACACTCAATGTGTACTGCTGCCTTAATCCTGGCCTTCCCAGCCCTGGAACTGTGAGAAACAAATTGCTAAGGCTCTTAAGTCACCTAGCCTATGATATCTTGCTATGTCAACACTCACCAAGTCAGAAGAAGATCCTTTTCCAATGAAAGTATGAATAGGGTTGAAGTAGATTGTTGGAATGTATGAAAATAGAATGATGAATCCTGCAGAAATTGTTTTAGAAAGAGAGAAGGGGAAAAGGAGAGTGAAGAGGAAGTGGTATTTATTGGAATACATTGTAAACATGTGGAAATGTCACAATGAAATCCCTCCTTGTAATGTGAGATAGATAGACAGACAGACAGACAGATAGATAGATTGATTGATGGATAATAAAGTGGGGGGGGATAATAAGTGGTCAAAAATGGCATCAAGGTATTCCAGCATAACAGAGTAGATGGAGGGGAAGAGGCAGCAGTTGAGCACAATGGGTAAACTGGGTCACAGCAGGTGACCATCTTGTGATTAAGAGGCATATGCGTTGCTCAGAGCTAAAAGAGGAAGTGTATCTTGGTGTGCACTTTCCCATCCCTCCACTCTTGTCTCCCCAGACCTAGATGCCTGGGAAAGCCAACCCTCTTCCACCCAGCAGAAAGAACATGCTAAGACTCACCTCTCTCTCTTTCTCTCTCTCTCTCTCTCTCTCTTTTTCTCTCTCTCTCTCATACACACACACACACACACACACACACACA